CCTGCTGCAAACACAAATACAATGGATCTTATATTTTTTCCTTTCCACTCAAAGGAAAGACTTTGAGACCAGCCAGCTGCTCAGCAAGATTGAGGACGAACAGTCTCTTGGTGCTCAGCTCCAGAAGAAGATTAAGGAGCTCCAGGTAAATTGGAGATCTTATTCGAGTTGATATGAAGATCTCATTGTGTTTCAGGTAATACACTTGTCAATACGATCATCAAACCTAGGCTCGTATTGAGGAACTGGAAGAGGAGATTGAGGCTGAGAGAGCTGCACGAGCCAAGGTGGAGAAGCAGAGGGCTGACCTCTCCAGAGAACTGGAGGAGATCAGCGAGAGGCTGGAGGAAGCCGGCGGAGCCACGGCCGCGCAGATTGAGATGAACAAGAAGCGAGAGGCTGAGTTCCAGAAGCTGCGTCGTGATCTGGAAGAGTCCACCCTGCAGCACGAGGCCACAGCTGCCGCTCTGCGCAAGAAGCAGGCCGACAGCGTCGCAGAGCTGGGCGAGCAGATCGACAACCTCCAGCGTGTCAAGCAGAAGCTGGAGAAGGAGAAGAGCGAGTACAAGATGGAGATTGATGACCTCTCCAGCAACATGGAGGCTGTTGCTAAAGCAAAGGTTTGCATCAGCCTTTGTGAAAACTCCCATTGTACTCTGGATCCAAACATCATGGAAAACAAATCAAAAACATGACCTTGTCTTTGGAAGATGATTTGAAATAAACTTGTCTTTGCAGGGCAACTTGGAGAAAATGTGCAGAACTCTTGAAGACCAGTTAAGTGAAATTAAGTCCAAAAATGACGAGAATGTACGGCAGCTGAATGACTTGAGCGCACAGAAGGCAAGACTGCAAACAGAGAACGGTGAGTCAGCCAACACATATTCAGTTTGATTTCCCACACCAAGTGGTCGTCGCGAAATCAATCACCAGTCAATCACACGTATATCGTTGCTCAGGTGAGTTTGCTCGTCAACTTGAAGAGAAGGAAGCTCTCATTTCCCAGCTGACCAGGGGCAAGCAGGCTTACACTCAGCAGATTGAAGAGCTGAAGAGACACATTGAGGAGGAAGTGAAGGTGGAAGAGCTCATATTTAGAACCATCCTTCCCAGGTCTTCTATCCAGTATTCATCTGCCATTTCTGCTGTCCTTGTTTTGACTTTATAGGCCAAGAATGCCCTGGCCCATGCCGTCCAGTCTGCCCGCCACGACTGCGATCTGCTCAGAGAGCAGTTTGAGGAGGAGCAGGAGGCCAAAGCTGAGCTCCAGAGAGGAATGTCCAAGGCCAACAGTGAGGTGGCGCAGTGGAGATCAAAATATGAGACGGATGCTATCCAGCGCACCGAGGAGCTGGAGGAGGCCAAGTAAATCATTTGGACACCTCTCGGAATTCTATTCATACGTCTTAAGTGTGTTCAATTGTCGACACATAAATGACAACCCCCCAAAAAATATTGCCCATTACAGGAAGAAGCTTGCCCAGCGTCTCCAGGAAGCCGAGGAGTCCATTGAAGCTGTGAACTCCAAGTGTGCCTCTTTGGAAAAGACCAAGCAGAGGCTGCAAGGGGAGGTGGAGGACCTCATGATCGATGTGGAGAGAGCGAATGCCCTGGCTGCCAACTTGGACAAGAAGCAGAGGAACTTTGATAAGGTGAGCTAGCAACTGAATTCAATGACGTGAGTAAAATCCAGTACCTTCTCGTACTTCATTTCTAAACGTCTAAAACTTTCCAGGTCCTGGCAGAATGGAAGCAGAAGTTTGAAGAGGGCCAGGCGGAGCTGGAAGGATCCCAGAAGGAGGCCCGTTCTCTCAGTACTGAACTGTTCAAGATGAAGAACTCGTATGAGGAGGCTCTGGACCAGCTGGAGACCTTGAAGAGGGAGAACAAGAACCTGCAGCGTGCGTCACTTTGCGGTCTACATCGAGGAGAAATGACCACAATGGTTATTTCGAAAAATATCGTTTATAATTGTAATAATAATCAAAATGTTTTTGACCTGCAGAGGAGATCTCTGATCTAACTGAACAGATTGGGGAGACCGGAAAAAGCATCCATGAGCTGGAAAAAGCGAAAAAGACGGTCGAAAGTGAAAAGGCTGAGATTCAGACCGCTCTTGAAGAGGCAGAGGTATCACATGATAGTAGCATGAATTCTAATCACCACGATACTCTGTGCTGAGTTTAAAATTGTGTTGCTGACGTGACAAAACGATGCCTTTCTCTATTCAACGTTACTGAGGTCACGTTTCTCGCGCACAGGGCACACTGGAGCACGAAGAGTCCAAGATTCTCCGCGTCCAACTGGAGCTCAACCAGATCAAGGGGGAGGTTGACAGGAAGCTGGCCGAGAAGGACGAAGAGATGGAGCAGATCAAGAGGAACAGCCAGAGAGTGACTGACTCCATGCAGAGCACTCTTGATGCTGAGGTCAGGAGCAGGAATGACGCACTGAGAGTTAAGAAGAAGATGGAGGGAGACCTGAATGAGATGGAGATTCAGCTGAGCCACGCCAACAGGCAGGCTGCTGAAGCCCAGAAACAACTGAGGAATGTCCAGGGACAACTCAAGGTGAGCTTCTCGTCTCTGCTTCAGAAATGCTCATGAACATAGAACTGATGATTTGGTTTTTGCCAGGATGCCCAATTGCACCTTGACGATGCTGTCAGAGGCCAGGAAGACATGAAGGAGCAGGTTGCCATGGTGGAGCGCAGGAACGGCCTGATGCTGGCTGAAATCGAGGAGCTGAGAGCCGCTCTGGAACAGACAGAGAGGGGACGCAAAGTGGCCGAGCAGGAGCTGGTCGATGCTAGCGAGCGTGTCGGGCTGCTTCACTCTCAGGTGTGGTTTCCGTTAGCTGACGTCGAGATGACTGCCGCCATCATTTGTCTCAAAATAACTTTCTCAAAATTTTAGAACACCAGTCTACTGAACACCAAGAAGAAGCTGGAGTCTGACCTCGTCCAGATCCAAAGTGAAGTGGACGATGCCGTTCAGGAATCAAGAAATGCTGAGGAGAAGGCCAAAAAGGCTATCACTGATGTGAGTCTACTCACAAACCCAGAAACGATGCAATGATTGGTAAGAAATTGCAAATAATTTGTGTAACATCTCAACACCTCAGGCTGCCATGATGGCTGAGGAGCTGAAGAAGGAACAGGACACCAGCGCTCATCTGGAAAGAATGAAGAAGAACCTGGAGGTCACTGTCAAGGACCTGCAGCACCGTCTGGATGAGGCTGAGAACCTCGCCATGAAGGGTGGCAAGAAGCAGCTCCAGAAACTCGAGTCGAGGGTATGGACCGCACGTACAGGGGCCATACAAGAGAATTCATCTAATTTTATTCTTTAGTCAAGTCATGTTTATTCATACAACCCTTAGTCACAAAAGATTTTCAAAGGGCTTTACTGGTCCATAGATCACGAGAGGAGAGGCGGCAGTAAAACAGGCCAAAATACAGATCTCAGTGGGTGAGGCACAGCAAGTGATTAGTTGCATTACATGTGGTTTTACCAAATACAAAAGGGAACAAACAAGTGCTAAATTGAGATTTAAACATTTCTGCAGAGGTAGCTGCTCTAATTTGCATACGTAAGGAATTCCACAGTACTGTACTGGAGCCTGAATGGAGAATGTTCTATAACCTGCTCACTTTTTAGCTTCCAGAGTCACCAAAACACCAACATGTTGTGACCGTAAGGTACCACAAAATCCGCAAGTTAGGAAGACGCTAAGCTAACATTTTATGCGGAAGCAACAAAACCTTAAAATCAATTCCCAGGTGGAACTTTAGAGTCTGCAGAATTTCTGAACAACTGCCAGTTTGTCTGGGCAAGAAGAATCTGTCCCAATATTTCTACTATGTTAAAAAATGCGTGTGCGTTTTTTCAGGTCCGTGAACTGGAAACCGAAGTCGAGACTGAGCAGAGACGCGGAGCTGATGCTGTTAAAGGTGTCCGCAAATATGAGAGGAGAGTGAAGGAACTGACCTACCAGGTGTGTTCCACTTCACCACAACTCACAGCTTTCCACTTTGGAACAGCAGTGACAACGTCACACGTTTACCTGTGCAGACTGAGGAGGACAAGAAGAACGGGACGAGGCTTCAGGATCTGGTGGATAAACTGCAAATGAAAGTCAAGGCTTACAAAAGACAAGCCGAGGAGGCTGTAAGTCCACGACATTACAATTTGACAAAAAAATGAACATTGATTCATAAAACGGAAACATCTTCAATTTTCTCTTGCAGGAGGAGCAGGCCAACACTCACATGTCTAGGCTCAGGAAGGTCCAGCATGAGCTCGAAGAGGCTCAAGAGCGTGCTGACATCGCAGAGTCCCAGGTCAACAAGCTGAGGGCCAAGAGTCGTGATGCTGGAAAGGTAACATATTAATTTTAAGCGTCAAATGTACAATCTCTCAAGGACGACTCATAATATTTGATGCTTTTCTTTTTCAGGGAAGTGACGCTACTGAATAAAAAAAAATGGTGATATAATTGTGGAGGGTTCCATACAATATGGACCCCGTTATCTCTGAATTCAATGAAAGTAATAAATGCTTTGGAAAAAAAGTTTGCGGTTTTCTCAATTAAAAATGGTTTCATACCACACTTTTTAATGGTCTTACTGAAGGATCACATGCGAAAATCAATACGTCGAAATGCATTTTATTTGTGGATATACTCTAATACAATACATTCATATGATAGACTCAGCTTATGACTCACAATGAGTTGTGCCTGAAACTAAACAGGTATCCTTTAAGTCTCTTCAAAATAAAATTAAGTATTTCTTCCAAACATGACACATATCAGAACTCTACCAAATTTAAACCGTAAAAAAAATGTTATGTACAAAACTACTTTGTCAAGCGTCTTTCTCATGCTTACCCTGGGGTGCCTTTTTACTCGGGTTGAGAATTTTAAGTAACGGCAGGAAGCTGTTCTGTAAAGTATGGCCTCCAAAGAAGAAACATTTTCACAGTACGGACATAGCTGACTAGCTAGCTAGCTAGCTAACTGCACATTGTCGTGGCAGGAAAGGGCTCATTAAAAAATAACGAAATAACTTATAAATAACAATTGTGCTGAATGAACTGATGCAAATGAATGCATTTAAGTTGGTGTATAGTTGGAAGGGGGATTTTAATGCTGTATCGCCACATCGTTGTCAGTTTGTGTGCTTTGAGCAGTTGGAACGTGTAGAACAACAAATCATTGAATTCACTTCGCAAGTTCTGTAACATCAACATACTCTACCATAAATGAATGGTCATAAATTCATTGAATACAGTACAATAATTACCATTGTCCACAAGTGTACATTTCTGGTTGTGTCCTTTATTTGTAGTTGAGTGAAACATACAGTAAATGCAAAAAAAAAAAAAAAAAAAGACGTGGTCATTTCTGATTCAAAGGAGTAGAAAGTACAGTATATAGAACTACAACACAAAATGGGCAGCAAGTCTACTTTGGAGTTGAGAGGTTCTGGGTTGGAATATCAAGTTTGTATGTTCCTTGAGCTTCCTCCCACATTCTAAAAATATAAATGTTAGTAGGTTCATTGAAAACTAAATTGTCCATGTGAATGTTGCACCATGCCTCTCGCTCACAATCTGCTGGCATCGAGTCGAGCTCATTCAAGTACGATAGAAAAAGGATGGCCGTATAGGATCAAACACACTAAACAAACTACTCACCTGAGACACAATGTTTAGTGTTTATAACCACCATCCTTCCAATCTTTCTTCACACGCCTTTTTCCAATGCCCCTCCCTCTCACTGGATTCTCTTTGTGTTTCTGTCCCCCTTGAGTCGCTCCCATTTTCAGGTGTGACGTGTGAACCTTCTCAATCGGAGAGAAGCAGTCTTCGGTCGCAGACTCCCCTCGTTCTGGAGAGCCAGAATTAACGTGATGCACCTTCTGGGCCGCTTTGGGCTGGGGAGACGACGGCCTCGAGCGAGGCTTCCTGGGGCTCGTGCGGCTTGACGAGCATTGCGCCAACTTCACGTCTTCCTTGGGGATGAGATTCAGATTCAAGGACACGGGTCTTCCGGGTCTTGGGCTCAGGGGGATCATGAGATTTTCTCCTGGAGCGCCGAGAGTGAGGAAGACCTCTGGGAAAGGCTGGTTAAAATTCTTATGCCCCTTTCGTAGGTCATCAAAGAAAAACCACAAAATGGTGAGGAAATGAATTTCAAACTTAAATTTCATATCAAGACAAACTTACCATCTGTGGTGTGAAGCTCATCGACACCTTTATAGTCATCTGAAAAGAGAAGATAAATGATCACAAGACACTGAATGAGAAAAGAAGTCCAAACATGGTAATTTCACATTCCCCCCCCCCCACAAATTGATGCACTTGGTATGTCCCCACATCGTGTTTGTTATACATTATCAACGAATGTTATTTTGGCTTACCTGAGCTGTGGAATCAAGTGTCCTCAGGTGTTCTGTCTCACAGTTGAAAGATGCAGACTTTGGCAGGCTGCAGCCCGATGGTGCAGTCGTCGTCTGGGCCTGAGAGACACACGCGTTGACCTCGTGTCTTTTGGATGGTGCGCTTTCAGCCGCGCTGATTTGTGGTGCGCTAATCTGACAAGGGAGGTGAACCGCGGAAGGTTGTAATTTGGGTACAATCGATTAGGCACTTGTCTCCCACGGATAAATAGGATAACCAAAATAATACATTACAATATCATCATCAAAAAAAAAAAAAAATTAACTCATTTACTGTGTCAACTCGTATAAAGGCACATACTAGAGTTGCAGCTTTCGCATGACTCCCGTTGTGTTTTCCCTCCGAGGTCGCGTTTATGCCGGGCAGGGAGGGCAGAGCGACCCTCTGGTCGTCCAGCCTGCACGCCTGACTGCAGGCCACCATGCGGAAGAACGTGTCCATGTCTGGACCTGCACGGAAGACTTCCATCTCAGAGCAAGACAACATACTTGGCGACCCCCATGTGGAGATTTATTTTGGTTACCAGCAGGGGCTTTATTTGGGCTGCGTGTGGGCGTGGTGGGCGTGCTCTTGCTTTGGGGTAAAGTGCAACGCTGCTCGTCCATTCGTCCTCTCTGAGCATGGGTCATCATTTTTAGGAATTGTTGCTGCTTAGCTAGAGATAGCTGGGGGGGGGATTAGAACAATGACATGGTAACGAGTACATGGATGATCCAGCTCACTGCTATACCGTTGTGCTACAATCACAAATGAATGAAAATTAAAATGAATAGAAATTCCATCAATCCATTCCATTCCCACAAACAAATCATTCTGTCACGCGTTAAAGTTCAGTGACCGTTGACAATGTGCTCCTTGGCCACTGGGGGGCGGTACAATACAGGTATTCATAATACACAAAGAAGACTAACAAATAAGTGACTCAATAAACTGCAGCAAGTTTTGTTGTTGTGATATATCCCTTGAGAAATACTGTATTGTTTGTATGATAGTTGCTGCAAATTTTGTGTTCAAATGTCGTTGCTTAAGGTGTTGTATTAGCTCTTTTAAACTTGGTAAATTTTCAGCAGGTTTTTTTTTTTTTGTATTTTGTATCTCTTTTTTTTCAAATTAAAAAAGAAGATAACATGCCAACGTTATCTTCGTGGGGATCTCACTCTTTCTCCCACTCTCTCAGGGAGCCTCACCTGCTGTTGAGCGTCATCGTTACGGTTTAGGGAGCCGGACCTCCTTGGCGCTTTGTCAGATGGCTCTGAAGGGGGCAAATCTTTGCCTTGGGGGGTCGGGGCGCCCAAATTCTGGAGGATATGAGGCGCAGAGCATCTCTGGTCATCAAGCCTGGAGCCCTGTTGTATGAAAATAAGATTAATGGATACTGAAGTCCGCTCTAAGACCACTGGGTTTAGTTTAGCTGAGATGTCCACCCACCTGGACTTTTGAAACCATGTAACACAAATAGCTCGAGTCTTTGTGGGTGGAGCCTCCATTTTGGATCCCGGGTAACGATGGAAGACACACCCGCTGGTCATCCAGACGTTTGCCTTGTGATTTGGCCAGCATGTTGAAGAACTTGTCAGAATCCGGGCCTGCCCGTACACAAGGACAACTTTCAATAAATGACGTTGACTTTGTCATCTCTCTGAGCCAAAAAACCCAAAAGTAGCACTAAAATTCAGGGGTTGAATCGCTATCATGTTGAATTCACAGTAGACATCACTTCAGTTCGCATCAAGAGTAATACCTGAGTAATACCTTTCGTTTTGGTTTGAGTCAAATTTATTTTTATATAAGGCACAGCCGGTAAGACACAGAAAACGTAAATAAGCCTCGAACCTGTGGCGCTCAGAGCAAGCTTGCGTTTGGGGGAAGTCTGGGGGCTCACGGTGAGGACACATCGCTGCTCCTCCATGCGGCCTCGCTGGGCGTGAGACATTAAGGTGAGGAGTTGCTTCTGCTCAGCTGGACTCACCGCCTGTATGGTAGAGAGTGCTACACCGTTTACTTTTACTTGCTGCGTTTGACTAATGCCAGTTACTACTTTAAAAATACAAAAACAACGATATCTTCACTTCCACTCAAGTTCAGAATATAAGTACCGTATTTTCCGCACTATGAGGCGCACCTAAAAGCATTCAATGTTCTCAAAAGCCGATTCATAATCCGATGCGCTTTATAGGTGACTCAATATACTGATTTCCAGGACATAGTATTTTAAATGTTCTGTAAAGCACTTTGTTAAAACTGCATCGGTTGTGAAAGCGCTATATAAATAAAGCTGTGTTGTATTGTATTCTCTTTAGCGTACTCCCACTAGTGGATGCATAACGCAACTGCAGCAAACTATTGTAGCTTCTGTTCTAAGCGCCTTATAAATGCCGTGCAGCCTATATATGAAAACGGTTTCAAAATAGGCCGTTCATTGAAGATGCTCATCACAGTGCGGAAAATAACGGTATTATTCCCGCCTTTGATGATGCGTTTACAGTATGCCATTAAATGCATAGTATCACTTCTATTCACTGGTTTACCTTTTTGAAGGACGTCTTAGATTGGCTCTTGGGATGTTCGACGTTCGAACCGGGGCTGAAGGAGGCCGAGCGTGCAACCCCAGAAACGTCGTTGTCCTTTCGTGCTGGCACCATTGGCTGAATTAGAGTTAGGGAGCACCTCTGGTCTTCCATTCTGCTTCCCTGAACATGGATCATACTATTACTTCATATTTAGATAGTTAAAAAGAAAATTCAGTTTTCAAGATATTGGTTTTGATGCAAGATGTTGATCAATATGTGATATAATAACCTGAACTTTGGAAACCATGTCGCATAAGTAGCTTGAATCTGCGCCGGATGATGATGATTGCGGCTCCTTTTTGTCTAAACCGGGTAATGAAGGAAGGGATACTCGTTGGTCGTCAAGCCGTTGACTCTGAGTGTTGGCCAACAAGTTGAAGAATGCTTCAGAATCTGGGGAAAAAAATGCGCATTGTATATATATATATATATATATATATATATATATATATATATATATACAATCCGAACCCTTAAAATGACTTAAAAATGAACAATATCAACCTATATTTGTATAGAAATATATGTTATAACACAATCACGACAATATAAAAAATGAATTTAAATGATGAAAACAATATTTTTTTTAACGTAAAGAATATTTTTCAAATATCTGTATATATAACTGGATAGTCATCAAATTATGAATAATTACCGGTAAGTCACTCAAATCTAATTTTATATCCATATATGTGTACAAAAATACATAAATCCTTCTGATTCAAATTCGCTGTTGACCAGTGTAATTGTTGCCATTCACCTTGATTGGACAAATCAGTTCGAGGTTTCCTGTCAAAGAGTTTTGGAGTACAGGGGGCACTGCGGCTGGGATCCAGGGAGCAGCACTGGTCCTCCATGCGTCCACTCTGACCGTGAAGGACAAGATTCATCAACTTCTGCTGTTCCTCGGGCGACACCGCCTGTCAATCGCCAAAACGACGCAATTACTACATGAAAAAAAGTTTTGCTCGAATATACCAGGCGGCCCCACGACCTCGATGGAACCGACGTCGCCTCGCTCGATGGGAATCGGCAACTGGTTACCCGGCAACAAGTGGAGCCTCCTGTTCATCTCCGGAGTGCTTTGTGTGACTGAAATCTGAGGTGCCGAGCCGTGATGTTGAAAACCTCTCGTCTCCTGAGAAGGGGGGAAAAAAAAATATTGAGAGGAATGTTGACTTCACACCGAAACTCAAATTTTGAAGTACCTGATACTTCGCTGCTGCCATTAACACCTGCTGCTCAGCAAAAGGTCGTCGTTGCGTGTAAGCGGAGCTGTGGATTGACCCGTGCTTTTCTTCCATTTGCGCTCGCTGCAATGAACTCATGATGTCTGAAATCTGCTCTGGTCTTCTGATGGAGTCTTATAGGAAAAAAAAAAAAAAATCACATAGTATCTGCTTCCTTGTGCAGTTACAACACAACAACAATACAGTACATTAAAAAATACTATCAAAAGACTATTGTCAATTTTTTGCCTTTTTTTTTGCTTTGTAACCTCTTAGCTCATGCAAATGTACCTAATAAAAACAGCTTTTGAATTTTTTATTTATTCATTTTTTTGAATGAATGCTATAGGATCGTGCAGGTGTTCCAAATTCCATGTTTTCAGACATTATTACAGCATCCATATTTGTAAGAATGAAAGTTTTTCCTCACCGTCACAGCATGGCGCTTCTCTTCTGCACAGAAAACCACATCGAACGTTAAGTCAGTGATGAAAGGAAATCTGTGTTGACTCGTTGGATACGTCGCGACCGGGGGAGGGGGGGGACGTCCGGTGCGCTGCCGATCTGATTGTGCACCCGACGCGGCGCGGACGGAAGGCTTTTAAATGGAGTGAAGTGCTCAGCATTAACATAACGCCATTAGGAGCAAAGGCCCGTGTCCTGTTCTTAATATTGCCATCTGTAATCCTAGATAAAAACATAATCCTCGGGATGGAGCGGAGATGATCCCCCCACCCCCCC